GAAGCTCGGAATCAAGGGTTTGAGGGTTTGGAGTTGAGGGTTTCGGGTTTAGGGTTTAGGGTTTGAGGGTTTAGGGTTTGAGGGTTTGGAGTTGAGGGTTTCGGGTTTAGGGTTCGGGGCTTGGGGATTTCGGTGTTTGGGGCCTAGGGCTTTGGGTTTCGGTATTTTGGGGGCGCCATCCTGGTACTTGGTATCTTCGCAGGGTCGCTTCATGGCCCCTGGAGTGGGGGACCCCCTAATCACCCCTTCAAAATCTCTTGTAACCCAAGGGCCCATACCTTTAAAGGCGGCAAGGGACCATATTCAGGCACCATCAAACTACACTTCGATTGTAAGGGCGTCTAAGGCGCCTAAGGGTACTTTCATGGGGGGAGGGTGAGGCCAAAACCCTGAGGGGAGCCTGGGACGTCCCGGCAAGTTTGAGAATTGAGGTATTGGGAAGACTTCTTGACCCAGTAACCATCTTATAATGAGGGTACCCTGCGTTTAGCTGGTTACTTCAAAAGGAAACCCAGAACCAAAAAAGGGCAAAAGCGACCACTGGACTACCAAGAAGGGGGGCTCGCGTCGGAAAATAGCGTGATGAACAGCCATAAGGCGTTCAATGTTGGGTCGAAGGTCTAGGGCGAGAACCTCAGCTGCGACCGGAACATCACGCGACCCACCCAGGTCATCCTGCAAACCCTAAACCCTAAACCCTAAACCCTAAACCCTAAACCCTAAACCCTAAACCCTAAACCCTAAACCCTAAACCCCAACCCCTAAACCCCAAACCCCAAACCCGAAACCCTAAACCCTAAACCCTACACCCCAGTGCCATCCGCAGTCCAACAGCATCAATGACCGATGGTTGATCGGCGACCAACATGGGAGTCCCCCAATATAGACCCCGAAATTGTATAGGATCTCGTTAAAATAAGGACCCCAATAAGGTACCCCTAATATCGTAAACCCCCCCACGTCTTCGGAGACAGATTCGCCGTACGCAGTGGCTGTCTCGCAGTTATGAGGTGGGGGTTTACGAACATCAGGGGCCCCCCAGTATCGATCCAGAAAGCAGGATCCCCTTATAATCAGGACCCGAATAAGGTACCCCTAACCCTAAACCCTAAACCCTAAACCCTAAACCCTAAACCCTAACTTCAGAAACCCCCAGGTCACAGATTCCTGAACCCTAAACCCTAAACCACCCTCCAAGGCCCCTGCTGGTCAAAGCCCGCCTCTTGCTGCACCTTTGGCAGCTCCTCGGTCGCTCCCCGTAGGGTTTAGGGTTTAGGGTTTAGGGGTTAGGGTTTAGGGTTTAGGGGTTGGGGGTTGGGGGTTGGGGGTTAGGGTTTAGGGTTTAGGGTCCCTTCCCCAGGTTTAGGGCTTCGGGCTTAGGATTCATAAGGCGAAGCCCCTGCCTTCTCAAACAAGTCGGGACATTGGACATTGTGGGTGCATGTCTATTGTAGAGGCGAAGTTCTGTTTGGGGTGAAGGGTAGACTTCCCAGGACCCAAAAGTATGTTTATGTTCGACCCGAACCCTAAACCCTAAACCCTGAACCCTAAACCCTAAACCCTAAACCACTCCTCGGTTTGGGGCGGGTCTCGGTGGCTTATAAGGGAGTTCACGTATTTGACGCTTTATGTCTATTGGGGTAATATGCGCATGCTGCAACGATTCTTCCGATTAGCATTTGCACAACAAAACTACTGCCTCATGAGTTTCAACGTTTGATTATCCACGCCGTTGATGTTGCTTGTTCTTGCCACTATTAGGTTTATTATTCTTGATGGTGGTTTTCTAAGGGGGGGGGGTGCCGGGGGAAAGCAGCTAGTTTTTGCGCTTTCGACAACTCGTCTTGGCTAGGTCATTTCAAAGAGATTCATGAAGAAAGGATTCTGCAGATAGGACCAGTCAAAGACTCCAAAGCAGCGTCCTCGTCGCAGGGAAGCTTCCAAACCTGAGCGGCCAGGAACCCAGAAATCTTTCAACAAATCAAAGACACACACACACACACACACACACAGACACTCGAGAGGGTTGGTCTAGTGTGCTGTTCGACTGCTGGTGGTAGCGATCTCAAGTCACTGCTGCCCTCGTCAGGCAGTGAGTGATGCAAGTGCGCTACCCTCCACCCCATGTCTTCGGCATCCATGAAACTATGCTGTGCTTGTCACATGTACAGCGATTGCTATATAACACACCTACACACTCATACTCCCTCCCTCCCTCCCTCCCTGCCTCCTGCCTCCATCGCTCCCTCCCTCCCTCTCTCTCTCTCTCTCTCTCTCTCTCTCTCTCTCTCTCTCTGTATCTCTCTCTCTCTCTCTCTCCCCTCTCTCCGCTCTCGCCGAGTGCTCGACTGTAGCATTGCCCGACGATGCGGCATCCTGGCATGAGGCGCGCAGAGCCACTTGCAAAGCTGGCAAGGCTTCGTTCACTCGCACCCTAGACCCTAAACCCTAAGCCCTCAACCACAATCCCAAAACCCTAAACCCTAAACCCTAAACCCTACACCCTAAACCCCCCAGAAGCCTACAGTGCCCTACGACGCTGAAGCCCAGACCACCCCTGCCTGAGTCAAGTTGAACCATGGTGGCTCACCTCGGTCTATGCCGCCCTACAGTTCGCCTATACGGAATTGTAGCTTGGGGTTTAGGGTTTAGGGCTTAGGGTTTAGGGTGTAGGGTTTAGGGTTCAGCATCTCAAGTTCAAGCATTTACTAGTCTTAGCGAAGCTCGCGACTGCGGTTCGAGTTTATACGCAGCCACCCTTTGGATCCCATGACGATGCCTTGTGCCACGAAGCCCTGTACTCCAAAACCCAGACAGTCTTTTGTTTGGCCATGCGAGGTTCTGCCAGGAAGCCTCTAAACCCCGAACCCGAAATTTACCCTAAACCCTAAACCCTAAACCCTAAACCCTAAACCCTAAACCCTAAACCCTAAACCCTAAACCCTAAACCCTAAACCCTAAACCCTAAACCCTAAACCCCGTCCCGTTGGGTGGGGAGGGCCCTGGGCGATGTAGCGAAAGTCTTGACCAAACTCTACTTGCAAGCGCACCCTCTGTCACTAAGGGCAATGCTCTCCGCGTTCGCGCCCTCAAAAACCTAGTCACAGACCCTCATCGAGTCCAGATATCCCAAAGCGCCTTCGAAGAATTGTTAAAGGTCTTCTTAGAGATTGATTCGGAGAGCTCGCTAGTAAACCCTAGACCCTAAACCCGAACCTTAAACCCCATTGCTTCTTATGGCGCAGCCACACACACCAAACCCTAAACCCTAAACCCTAAACCCTAAACCCTAAACCCTAAACCCTAAACCACACACCGAGGAGTCAGCAACGCACAACACCAAAGAGCGCCGAGGCCATCACCAGACAACCTCCGCACGGCCGCCTCACACAGAGGAGTTTAGGGTTTAGGGTTTAGGGTTTAGGGTTAGGAGGCTTTCTGGGAACTGTGGGTTGATGTGTAAGGCTTCGGATTTCGGCGTTTTCGGTTGTTTTTGGGGTTTTAGGGTTTTAGGGCTTCAGGGTTTTAGGGTTTTAGGGTTTATGGTTTTAGGGCTTTAGGGTTTTTAGGGCTTTAAGGTTGGAGGGGAAAGGGATGGGCGCTGCGATTTCACTGTGTCTGTGTGTGGCTTCATTTAGGGTTTAGGGTTTAGGCCTTGGGTATTCGGATTTATGGCTGAGTGTTGGGCCAGGGGTTGAGGCAATCATGAAGCGGGACATCCGTCCGAACTCGAGTAAAGTAGATTATGAACCCACGAGGAGTCTGATTTCAGAGATTTTCCAAAGACCACACAATGCAAGGGTGTGGGAACGTTTTGAGCCTAAGGGCAACCCCCGACCCCTTGGCCCTAAACCCTGACCTAAAACCACGGGTACGCCCCAAACTCGCTTCTTCGCACGAAGTGCAGAAGCCATAATATCCGCGCCCGCAAAGCCGCCAGTGAGTCCCGGGGTCAAGGTTCAAGTGGGGTCAGAGCCTAAAGCTCTTTCGACCCTAAGCCCGAAACCTAAGCGAAGTCAGGCTAAGCGGTGTTCAAAGCTTTTATTACGGAATTGCAGCGCATCCACCCCCCCCCCCCCCAAGCCGTACACCAAGGGATCAGGGTTTCCGGTTTGTGTAGGCTGTAGGGTCCACTGCTGCTTGGAGGTTCAGGGTACAATTTCGCCCCAATTATGAGTGTACTTCTAAGTTCCCCTCAGTCCCCTACGTAAGTTATCAGTAGACTCATAATTGGGGTCATAAGCACCCCTGAACCTCCTAAGTGGACCTTTAAGGGAGTCTGGGATGTAGGGGTCAAAGGGCTGTAGCATTGGAGATGCTCCAGGACGTGCTACACCATGGGTTGCTACCCTAGGCTTTAGGGTTTAGGGTTTAGGGTTTAGGAATTAGCAGCTATTAGTCCTTACCTTATGAACCCCTGAGGCCAAACCCTAAACCCCAACCCCTAAACCACCCGCAAGGGCTGATTTAGGAGGCGTTGTGTAGTCTTCGGGACCCAAAAAACCGGCAACGAACAAAACAAACATACTCCTTACACCCTAACCCTAAACCCGAACTCCCAAACCTCAACTCGGGGGCCCTGCAACCCTAAACCCTAAACCCTAAACCCTAAACCCTAAACCCTACTTGTTTTCACAACGGACAGCTGCATGTGGCCTGGTACTTTACAGATTGGGCGGCATGCACTTCCCCACGGGCTCTGAGTGGAAGTGGTGCTAAGCTTAAGGTGCTTAGGCTGTTTTGGCTGTGGCTTGAGGGCTTGAGGGCTTAGGGCTTAGGGCTTAGGGCTTAGGGCTTAGGGCTTAGGGCTTAGGGCTTAGGGCTTAGGGCTTAGGGTTTAGGGTTTAGGGTTTAGGGTTTAGGAGGGTGTAGGATGCTTGGGATGCAGCGAGATTGTAGAACACGTGGTAGGGTCTCGGTTTTCGGGCCTCTGGACATCCCGAACCTGGGATGGAACGTGTCCTACTCAGAGCCCTTAAGGGGCGCGTTGTGTGGCTTGGCTAGTCCTCGCCTGAGCCTGTGTTTAGTAGGGATCCGTCTGCTTCTGTACCAGCTAGACGGATCCAGACTACACCGGCTGCCCAGACGACGGCACTGCAGCCGGAGCACAGCAGCGCGAGAAAGCTGCCGGTACTAAATGCGACCATGGCAAGGAACACAGGGAAGGCCACCCAGTATGCCAGAACTATGGGCAGGGCCGCCAAGGAGTGCACCACCAAGCCCACCGCGACCAGCAGCACGAAGGGAAAGAGCAGCAAGAACGCAAATGCATCCCCGAGGTCGGACCGGTCCTGTCATGGGCTTTAAAGCGACCACGGGGCCCAAATGAACCGCCCCAAAAAGGGTTTATGTTTCAGATACCTGAATATAGGATCTGTTGTATAGGGGTATAGCACTATAAGCCCAAAACCCCGAACCCTATACCCTTGTCATAAAGGAACTTCTAGGCTCGAACATGTAGCATGCTGCACCCTAATTTGGGGCGACACCTGGTATTTAGAGTTTAGGGTCAAGGCTAGGGTCTAGGATTTAGGATCTAGGGTCTACGGTTTACGGTAAAGGGTGGTCTCCCGGAGCCTCAACTACATCAGCACTACATCATCCTGCTGCAATGGGGGAGGCCTAGGGCTTCGGGCTTAGGGTTTCGGGTTTAGAGGCTTTGGGCACCTTACGGTACCCCCAACAAACATAAAGTCAGACAGGGAACGCTGCAGGGTTTAGGGTTTAGTCGGTCGGTACGAACTGAGAGACTGTCCAAGTCGCGTCGAAAGTGCAGCTTACTGGCACAGATAAAGAAGACAAAAACATGCGGAAAATTAATTACGACTCACAGCCATGCTCGTATCAGCGCCCTGCCATTCGGTAGGTGCTCCGCAAACCTACTCGGGGCACGGGCCTGAAGACGAGCCTGCGCCATGGCCTCAACTACGTCCAGAAGACAAGGGTCAAGTTTGCGAACCGGTTCAATGAAAGAAACCAAGTCGACTGGCAGAATGTCCGAAAGGGCAGCTATGAGATCAGGGCCACTGGAAGGGTCCCAATGCCTTCGAGGGCCCTGTGCCCGAATGGCGGGCCAAAGCTGCGGTGGCTTGTCCTGCTCAGAAGTGGCTGGGGTCCATTCAGGTTGAACAGTGGCCATGAGAGCTGGCAAACAAGCCGTTTGACCTCTGGCCAGGTGCAGAAACAAGCGTTGCTGCGACCAGAACTGCGTGAGGCACCACCTGCAAGTAGTGCCCGAGCAGTAGTCGCGTGCAATGTGCTGATGCATGTGTGCCTGCAGTCTATGAGCTGCTAGGTGGGATGTTGAGGGAAAGACTGCCGAGCAGGAGGGGCAGCAGTGGTTTCCAATCTCTGTTGTGCCCACCAGAGGTCTCATGTTCAGCGCACGGGCCCTGAGCTGAAATACGGCCCAGCCATGCAGAGTCTCAGTTTGGCGGCGGACTGCAGTAGCTGCCGCCTTTACCAACTTGGACTCCATAGTCAGGACCAATTCAGCAATCCCTTCAACATGTTGTTGAGAGCGCTGGCAAAAGGGGCCTATCGAAGAGGGCAGGCGCCCATTCCATCGCGAAGGCCAAGTCGCGCTGTATCTGCGCGAGCCAAGTGTCGGCGCTGCAGCGCGCGTGTGTACACAGGAGGTCCCACAGCGACTGGTTATCTGAGCGGAAGATCCTGACCAGCAGCCGCATCCGTTGCATGAGCAACAGCGCAGCCGGGCAGTAGGCCCTGAGAATGCCGCACAGTTCCGGCATGTTGGGGTACGCAGGATGGTGTGTCCTACGGTCCTCGGGGAGGAGATAACGGAGGGCTGAGCAAATTTTGGACTCCCACGCGTGCAGCGCCGGCGCAGTCGGGATCCACACTCCCACGTTGTGCACGGCCATAGCAAGTGGTACCTCCTGGAAAAGCGTCCACCTGCCTGATAAGGGTATGGCCGAATTGCGGAAAACATGTCGACCGAGGGGACGTGTGGCAGACAAGGCCTGCGCGGCTTTGCGGTCCAGGTCTGGGGCGGGGTCCGCTTGTGCATCCAGAGTGGTTCCGAGGTGGACATATCGGTGGACGACACTGAGGTGCACAGGGGGCCCGTGCGCGTCAGGCACACTGACAACATGCTCGTCTTGCAAGAGCCGGGTTTTGGCGCATTTGGCACCTTCGCCGTGTAGGGCGCATATCGCCTCAGTCTTGCCTCTGTTGTAATTCGGGTCCATTGCACGTCGCACGTAGGCAGAGTGCACAATGGCACACGCGCGTATGAGGCGGGGTCGCAGCTCAGAGCACCGCGTTGCATGCACAGGGACGCAAAGATCGTCCGCCCACGCCGGTTGGACCAAGGGACCCTCACCTGGTCCTGAAAGGAGCCCCTCACTGTGCATTCGTTCCCGGATTTCAACCAGAGCGTCGCACATAACAAAGCCAAACAGGGCGTCACTGACAGTGTCCCCTGGCCGAGTTCCGACCTGTGTTCTATGAACAACCTTTTGGCCTCTGGCGACAAAGCCTGCGTGAGCGAACCAAGAGTTCACAATGGCTTGGTTGTGTGCAGACATACCGGCTGTCAGCGCCTTGCCCTGGATCCACTCAAGGACAGTGTGCACCGTTGTTGGTTTGACTTGCATGCGCGCCAAGATTTGGCACAAGGCCTCGTCATCCAGCTGCTGCGTGGCCAGACACTGGCGTATCACCCTGTAGAAGGCGGCGCGGGTGTCCACAAAAAGGAGTGCCAAAGAAGTGGAGGTATCTGCCGCGATGCGCAAGAGTGTGCACAGATAGTGCGTTAATTGGGAAGAATCGCTTCCTGGGACACTCCCTTGCAGGCAAGTGGGGCGAAGGCAGTTCAACTCCTCGACAAGGGCACTTCGATGCAGGCGGCGGAAAACCTTACCTATCCCCTCAAACAGGTAGATAGCTCTATGACCGCTGATCGAGGCTTCGGCTCCTTTTTTGAGAAGGGTGAGCAACATGGAGGTCGAGAATCGTACAGGTTCGGTGATTCTGACCTGTTGCTTAACCAAAAGTGGGAACCAGTGTCGTGCACACGCTGGGGCATTGGCTCTCCATAGTTCGTTTGGTACGCCTGAAAGTCCCGAGGCTTTCCCCGGCGCCAGCTTGCGGAGCGCAGTCTCCAACATAAGCAAGGTGGGTAGCTCCTTGATGTCGAAGGGCTCGGAGGGTTTAGGGGTAGGCTGCACCATCTCGGCTAGCTCTCGCGCGTTGAGGGGATCAGCTACCTCCAGAGCTCCAAAGTGCTTAGCACGGATGTCCTGAGCCTCCGCGAAGCACTGGGCCGTATATCCACTAGCGTCGGTTACAACTGGGAGTGGACCCCAGGGCTTTTGGACATTCTTGGACGCCGGCCGAAGGCATCGAAGTGCACGGTACACCGCCTTGGAGTCGCGGTCTATGGTACCCTCTTTAAGCTTCTGGGCGATGTTAGTGGCGTAGGCAACCCGGTCCATGTTAAGTTGGAGCCTGACAGTGAGAATGGTGAGAGAGACAGTATGCTGCCAAAGTGCCACGCACCATCTGTCCATTTTTGGCGGTCGCAAGTCGGGCGGCACGGGGCGCCCCGGGCGATGCCATCGAGCAATAGCTCGCTTGAGCTGGAGAGTTCTGCACCTTTTTTCTGCCAGAACAAGTTGCTTCTTAGCGGTCTTTCTGGCCCGAAGTGACTGCAAAGCCGCTTCAGACACGTACGCCTTGCGTGCTGGTGAAGCCTTCTGTTCTGCTTGATGATGGAAAAGCCTGTTGCGTGCCGCTTTTAGCAGGGTTTCGGCATGAGAATGCACATCACATTGCCAGGGAATCGAGTTTGCGCAAACGGAGGCAGCCACAGCGGCGTAAGCCTCAGGAGCCAGGGACCTGAAGGTATTTCGAGGCGGTGTGGCAGCGCTGCTTCCTTTTGAAAACAAACTAATGTCCATTACTAGGGCCTTGTGGTCATCATGGTGATTAAGCAAATCGAAGCCATGTTCCGGGACAACCTTGGCTTGGGTAAAATGGGCCAGAGGTGCCGCAATGTAGTCCAGCCTGGACTGACGCCACGTGAAGGGGTCGGCCCCTTGCAGAATGTGGGCATGAGTATTCAAAAGGGCCAGACCAAAGCGCGCGCAGAGTTGAGAGATGCGTTCTCCGGCCCAGTCCTGCGCGCCAACTGCAACTGTTCCAACATGGGGCTGTGACTCTATACTGATTTTTGCATTAGCATCCCCCAGCAGTACAATCGGCCAGTTGCGTGCCCAACGCTGGAGCTTGTGGTCAAAGTCATTCCACCAAGCTTCTCGGACCTCGAGCGGTGACAAGCTGTGGGGCGCATGGAAGGTAGTGAACAGGGCACGGCACCAAGGGCTGGAATGTGACACGGCAAGGCAGGTGGGCGAGGAGTGCAGAACACTGAAATGCTCATGGCTTACACAAGACCCTAATTGGCCAGAAACCCATGGTACAGAGGAGCGAAACCAAAGTGCACAGCCTTCATGTCCTGCGGCTGCAGCGGAATGGAAACGCAGCCAGGTGCCTTTGCAAAAGGTGGCCGGGAGTCGAGTCTCCTGAAAGGCTGCCACATGAATGTTGAGCTCATCAGCCTGCTGTTGCAAAGCTGGCAGTTTGCCCCTGGCGGTACACAGATTGGCGGTAAGGACCCGCAGGTCACAAGTATGCACTGGTCCGTGAACAGGGACCTGGGAGTCGTCCAAAACGGCTTTGATGTGGGAAGGGGAAACAGTGTCAGCTTGTTCATACTGGCCAGCGCAAAGCTGCTCCAGAGGAGGGAGGTCGTTCGCAGGACTAGCACACCACGCCCAGGGGAGCAGAGGATGGGCTACAACTCTCCACAAAGTGGTGGGCACAGGAGAGGCGATGACACCTCGACAACCCATGTCCGCAGCTCTGTCTGCCATTTCGTTCCAGAGGTGTCCTTGGTGGCTCCTGATCCATGCGTGGTGGAGGCGAGGGTCACAGGCATGTCGGAACAAAGTTAGCTGACGGAGGCAGGTATGGACATCAGGCTGCCCTGACGTAGCATCGTCGCCTGACTGGATCGGTGCTGACCAACCTGCAGCCTCACCTATGGCCAGCCTGGAGTCACTGTGCAACCAAACCGGAATGTGTTGCGCAGAGAGGGAAAAGGCAGTGGCGACTAGTAACGCGCAAGCCTCAGCAGCATTGTTTGTTTTTGACGTAAAGGGCGAGTCGGGTGCTCCCACGGGGCCTGCTGCGAAACCGACCCAGTGGAGTTGCTCCGAAGTGTAGCCAGCATGCTCCGCGCATAAAATCACACCCCAGCCAGCTT